ATATTTTAAAACTTCGGGTGGGCGTGAAACTTTCTCCTGTTTTAATATCAATAAAGACTAAGCATGCGTGAAGCTGCATAAAAGTATACCTGTAACAGGTCGTAGAGGCCCATAGCGTTTGTGAGACGTCGAGACTCCCACATTTTCTCTTGAAAATCGGCTCATAAATGGCGATAAGATTGTTAGTCTTACGCGCCGGCCGCCCTTTACCCCCAGGAAGATTCCTGGTACTTTTACTATTAGAGGCTGAGTCGACCCTAGGGCCATTGTGCGGCCGGAAGGATTAGGTCAATTGAAAAGCTTCAACTCATCGGGACTACCTTATAATATTATGGTGCTTAATTGGATATGAGGCAACTTTAATTTTTCGCGTCGTTTAGAAATGATGTGTCAACTATCAGAGGCAAAAGTAATCAAGAGAATTTACATTTTATTTTCATTTTCCAGAGCCTTTCCGGTCATCATCGGCATGTAGACCTGAACTTAACTTCTAAAAGTTCTGCCGGAAGGGCGATCTAACCCCAGACACCCAAGGGCGCGTCTCAGTATCGCATGGAAACAGTGGACAAATGTGACACACCCTTCATGTGTTTGTTACAATAATGTTTCCATGGCGACCTTCTGTTGCGGCCGAGCGAACATATTGGCCAATGAGCCAGCGAGGAACAGAGCAGAAATAAGATGCGAACTTTGTCAAGACGATCTCAGGAGAACAAGCTCAGTTAATTAAGTGCCGTATACAATTCTCAATTCCCTTCTTCAAACGTTGGTAGGACCAAAAAATCGAGTAAGCACGGGGAAAATTAAAACCAACGATAAATACTCATAGACCGCCTCTGTGGTCTAGTGGTCAGAGTTCCTGGCTACAGATCCAGAGGTCCGGGTTCGATTCTCGGAGCTACCAGGATTTTCTGAGAAGTAGTGGGTCTGGAACGGGGTCCATTTAGCTTTGTGAAGATAACTGAGGAGCTAGAAAACTTAATGAACAACAGCGGGGATTTTTTTAATTGTAGAATACCACCTATCCGCTACTGTTGGCACTAACTTCGCTGACAAGAGGCGGTCGCTCGGTCGGTATAGTTCGCTTGCGGAATAGAGGCCACGGAGTATTTTTATTAAGAGGCTGTGTTTTCTATGCAGTCAGTGTCGAAGTTATATACTGAGAACCTGAGAGGAAGACATAAGGGTTTGCATACCGATTTGTTAATAGTGAAGTGCTACTTGCAGCCGTCTATAGGTCACCAGACCACGCCTGGAATGATGCAGACATCACTGAACTCTTTAAGCTTTAGACATAAGTCGTTACTGGCAGAAGATTTGAACGTTAAACACCCATTTAGGAATATCGTAGCTTCCAAATCTTCAGGAATGAAACTGCTGAATTTACTGCTAATAAATGAATTTTGAATTTCAGCTCCACAATGTCCCATTCATTACTCTCCTACAGAAAATTGTGACGTGCTCGATATTGTTGTGCGCAAGAATGTCCGGCTGCCAGAAGTCATTTTCTCCGATATTCTGGACTCTGATCACCTACCAATCGTTTTCCACTAACTGGATCTCATCAGAACTAAGAACCTTCCGGATCCTGTTGACAAAATCTGAAACTGGGAGTGGTTTCAAAGCCTGGTCTCTGAATTAATTATACCTAGAATCCAAATTACCTCCGGGTTAGAAGCCGATAAAGCGGCAATCGACTTTACTGCCTCAATACCTTCGGCGCATAGATTGTCGACAAGAAAAATTCCATTCTAGGGCATAAATAACGAACTACTTCGTCTGGAGAGTCTGATAAAACAAAAAATTAGATCAAGAAACTGAGGCAAGTAACCCGAGATCCAGCAAGTAAAACGGCGGTTAATTGGATCACCAAAACCGTCAGACGAATGACTCGTAGAAAGGCACTCGAACGGTTGGAAGGAGGTGTGAGTAGGGAACTGTGAGGTCACTCTTGAACATCTGTGGCCTATAGAGAAATAGCTTATGAAAGGGAATGAACCAAAGACATCCACCGCTGTTCATGGCTCTTTAGGAATAGCATGTCACTCCAACGAGAAGGCCAGCGCGATTGAGTATTATTTAGAAAACCAGTTCACATCTCGTGACCTGCGTGAAGAAACACATGAGCGACTGGTGGAGACTGCAGTCCAAGATCTGCTCGCGTCTGTAGACCACATCCTTTCTTCCAAGAAGACCAGTGACACATCTGACACAAGCAAAGTATAATGTTACCGAAACCCGGTAAGGACTCCTAACTCCTTCAAAATTTAAGTTCTATTAGTTTCCTGTCTACAACAGACAAGCTATTCGAGATAGTTGTTCTGAAAATAGTCCAAAAGCACACTGAAGACCTGCTTAATGCAAGCCAGTTTGGTTTCCGTGCCCATCACAGCACAGCACTTCACATTAAATTTCAAGAATAACATGTACACGACTGCGGTATTCTTGGATATTGAAAAAGTATTTGATGCAACGCAGCAAACTGGCTTGCTACATAGATTATCTAAATTAAAAATTTCAATGAGTCTAATAAAGCTCATTAGCTCCCTTCTTTCCCAGAGAAAGTCTCGGTCGGAGGTGAAATATCCACGCCAAGAGATATACAAACAGGTGTGCCACAAGGTTCCGTCCTGTCCCCACACTGTACAATTGATACGCCCAAACACCTGGTGTCTATCTAGGTCCCTTTGCTGGTGACACCTGTATAAACGTGACAGACCGCAAAGAGGTTTATGTTCTCAGAAAGCTGCAGCGAGGTCTCAGTGCTATTGAGACGTGGCGTGAGCGTCTGAACATAAAGATCAATGAAGATAAAACTCAGGCCACCTAAATTTTTCATAAATTTAGCGCCCCCCCCCCTTGAGGCTCATCTTAAATTGAATGCACGGAATAGCATCTTCGTCAATCGCGTAAAATATCTCGGTGTAATCTTGGATAAGAGGATTACACGAATATGCAAATAAAAATGATTGAAGTCAAGGCTACCAAAACATTTATTAGAGTCTCTTGCCTAATCAAAGGTGAGCGTTTAAACGCCAACATTAAACTCACCCTACAGAAAACACTGATTAGATCAATAATGACTTACGCTTGCCTCACCTGGGAAATTGAGGCAGACATCCACCTCTTGAAATTGCAGCGCCTACAAAACAAGGTTCTCCGCACCATTGGAAATTTTTCAACGTGCACTCAGGTCCGCGATTTGTACACGTCTTTCAACTTTCCCTATGCATACGACTATATAACAACATTGTGCAGGCGATAAGCAGAGATCATACAAAATCATGAAAATGGACATATTCGCAGCATACGACAAGGTGAAGCCAGATACAGAAAATATAAGAAGCTTAAATTTGATGGTGGTCACGCTTACGACCGCTCAAGTGACTAAAGCGTTGTAGCCTAAGATAATTAAGACAGACATGATTTGCTTTACAAAACCTGGCCTGACAGAGCACTTTTACGTAGTGCACAGGGAACAATTTTCAATAACCTGCTATATGTGCGATACGTACACTTGACACAGGCCAAGTTTCTAAGAGACAACGCCACATTTTCGTCAGAGAGGATGTTACGTAAGGACTATGACCGTAAGGGTCAGTTGCAAAAACAGAAGAATGAGGAACTCTGATCGTGAGGCTCGAGGGGCTAGGCGCCAAGAAGAACTGATTGGCGATAAAACGCCAGTCGTAAATTAACTATCCCTGCCATCGGTATTACTTGACTGTCGCTTGCGTCCTTGAATTTGTTGACGTCATATGTTAGGTTTGAGCCATCTGCCATCCAGCGAGGACGTGAGCAACGAAGCAGAACAACCTCCATGCGACGCCTAATGAAGACCGTAAAGAGACAAAGACTGATGAAGACAGAAGACTTCATGTGTGCTGCAGTACAGTGATTTGTAGCGTGTGTAGAACCATGAAATTATTGGTTACCTGTAGTTATGAGTTACGAGAATCCAATAAATCCAACCATAACTTCATTATACCAATATGACCCTTACTTTACACGAAGTACAAAAAAAGAACACTATGGTTTACGTAAGAAATTTAATGTATAATTATCGACATAGCGGATATTTCACGTAATATTGGGGTATACGATTTCTGTGTACTGGGAACAGCTTTTTATAGTTTCCCAACATAATTATATCAGAATAAATGAGCACGAGGGCCAATGAAGTATCCAAAATAAATAGATGTATTTCACATTTAGTATATTCAGTATTTCTACCACGGAAAATTAGAATCTTCTAGAACATAATGCCATGCAGTGTTATAGGTATTTATTAACTTTTAGAAGGCACCTACTCCCGCCATCTTGAGTGTAGACTTGGAAATGTAAGCAACAAGTTCCTCCAAAACGTTGACAAATATCTATCAAGCTACAGGGCGTCACATCTCAGAAGACGGCAAATCTTCGTAGTCAAAGCTCTTAGAGCTTCAATCCTCACACGTACACTCCACTTTAGCTATGGTGAAGAGGCCTAGAAACGTCATGATCATCACAAAGTATCGGCAGTAGCTACTCCCCGCAACCCACCTGCCAAGCAAGTACCGGAAGCTAGGTGCCTTATGGGGTTTCGCTACAGATGGCGACCTATATCGTCGCAGTGAAGACTTCCTAATAAACTCATACCGGCCGTTCAATTGCTGCTCCATCTACAATTATGGAAATGTTTCCATTCAGGAAATCAAGTGGATTCAAGTGGCTCTGGAAGTCTCCAGTTGAGGTCTCTTGTGCATGCGGGAATGAATCTTCGAGGTTACGTAAATGACGGCCAGGAATTTCTTGAACATTCGTGGGAGTATCAGTTTGTCGACTCTGCTCCATGGAAGAGTTAGCTGAATTATAAGAAATTTAGCATATCCAGGGAACCGTATGCAGGCCTTAGTTCTACTAGTAGTCGTTTTACCATCAATCTACACTATTAAATATTTCAGGGTCCGTCCCTTGAATATAAAGATTGAATTAAAAGGAAGTTGCATTCCAGTACTCACCTTACCGCCAATGACTGCCTGCACTGTCAGGACTTGAGCAGCCCGATGGTACTCCAGTACCTCTCCAGGAAGGACGTGACCCACACCGGGGTCGAACCAGACGAGGTCACCCTTTAGAACAGAAAGCAAAAATTAAACATAAGATTTTAGACTATATTAAATTACATGTACTGCAATTAAGTATAGGATTCTGAATGCTACTAGAACCTGGACTGTTCTAGGCAAATTTCAAGAAGCAAAGTCTCTTAACTTAAAGAGTGTTTCCCAAACGGTGTTCCGCGTAAATATTTTCGATTAAATCCATATTCTTGGGTAACATTTTTTTATTACTATCCTTATCTATTTGTGGATTCTGTTTTTAGTTTCCTGTATAAGAATCCTATTGGAAGTTCCGTATTTTTCGAGAGCGAAACGGTTCCAAGACTAAATTAAATTGGGGAACACAGAGCTAAAAGCAGGCACGGGTCGTAATCACAGTATATACTGTGGCATATTTGCCCAAAGCAAGAATTGTGGAGCCAGAGAAACAGCCGTTACTAGTGAACGGCTCTGGAAAAATATTCGTCTCTAGGCAACGGCTGCGAAACAAACAACGGAATAGCGGCCGTTGCTAGATAACACCTGCAACATACACACAAGTAACAATAGGAGAGATGTGATTTCTGTTGGTCTGTGGCGAGGGGTTATAAGCGAGACACAGTTTAGACCTTAGTTCATTAGAGGACAATGGCCAGCGGCGGATGGTGTGAGCGCGGAAGCTGAAGAATCTCCACTGTTAGAATCCGTTACCGGGAAACGACTAATGAAAACAGTGCAAGATGGAAAAGACTTCGTGTGTGCTCTAGTGATTAGTAAATTTGTGGAGATCAGTGATGGCGCTATAATTAGGTGCAATGTCGAGTCGTGTGTTAAAGGGATCAATAAATCCCATCTCCAACAAAAACCCCCGTCGAGAGTCACTCTAACAAGTGACAATATTTAAGCAGGTTCAATATATTTCGGCTACTCCTAAAATAAAACACGTTTCAAAATGATTCATAAAACATACACTTGGAAAAAAAATATGTTAATGTAACCTAGATTTTTTTTTCTATTTTGTATGATGCTTATCTAATGGATTTACTGATTATTGGGCCGGTGAAATATTTAAAGGCGCCATTTATAGGCTGAAGATATTTTACGTTGTAAAATCATATAAATATCAGTAGAACACGGGACATGCGAAACAGAGGACTCCAAGACAATCTTCCACAAGTTCCGCCTGGTGGCACTTAACCCACGACGTCATGGCGCGAAACTAATTAAGAAATATGTATTGTCGTTTCTACAGTTAGGAGCAAAGCAGACCTGCTCTGCGGTCAGGCAAGAATATAATGTGGCATGCAGACCCGTTGCTGGGTAAAGACCGCGAAATATGCCGTTACACAATAGCCGTTGCTAGTTAGTTATTTATTGGAGAGGGTGGGTTTCCCCATGCACTAAGACCTGTATTGGTCCATTGTGCTTCCCTCTATGATATTCTACCAGTCTCTATACTCTACCGATATTGGTGCGTGCCATCAGTCCCGACCGAGCCAGCGAGTTCTGCCTCTACTGGCTTGGCGGTATCTATAATGCTTCCCCCATCTATCAGAGGCGTTAGAGACTACTGTTGGGCGGGAAATGTCCTTGAATTTAGCTCAGTGACCTCCTTTGGAGATATGAGGTTCTTTTACGTGCCGTAAAGCTACGACACGGGACCCACGGCTTAAAGTCCCTCCCGGAGGACTTGTTCCCTGAATGTTTCCGCCCTTAAAAATTCCACGACCTCCGCTGGGTTTGAACCCGCGTACCACGAGTCATGAGGTGGGAACGTTACCTCTAGACTACGGAGGCCGCTTAGCCGTTGTTAAGTAATGACTCTGTAAACATCGGCCGTTGTGAGGTAATGACTCCAACAGACAAGCACGTAAACAGAACAACTGTGGAATTGGCGTCCTCTGTGCAGTCCGTTCCCAGGCTATACAAGGAGGAGTAGCTGAGATTTCGAGTCTTGAGATGGTAGGCAGAAGAGCAGGAGGTTGGTGTGAGATGGCCGCCAGCCTGCGAGGACGTGAGCCCGGGAACGTCCACTAGGGAAGACACAGCAGACTGAGACGACTTAGTACGTGTACTGCAGAGTGTGTGAATTAGAGACAGCGCTATATTTACTTGTAGTTGCGATCTGTAAGCCTTCAATAAATCCAATTACAATCCAAACCCCGTCTATAATGACGCATACACGTGACATTTTTTATGTCAGTATCTGGATTATATAACTTCGAGTGGTAGGATAGTGGATGATTTGGAAAGAATCGATCGTAGCCTAATCGAAGAAATATCTCGACATCTGTCTGAGGGACTGAGGAAAAATAAGAAAAATCTTGATAAGAATAGACGGTGTAGGGGCCGAGATTCGAAATGGTTATCTCCTGAATACAATTCTAGAGCGTAACAGCTACTCCAAGTACTGATTAGCTTTTAGGCGCGTAGGCAACCCTACAGACATCCTATTCACTTCGCCCAGTCCCGTCTGTCCGTCCGTACGCATGAAAAACCTCGAGAACCGATGAACTTTTATTCGTGAAATTTGAGGCTGGAAAGTTATACGGAAAACTGCTGGATAAGTCTAACTTTCGTTTAAACGATTTTACGTGAAGAGCTGAAGGAGTTTCTGCATATATACTGCTAAATATTAATCGGATAGGAAAACGTCTCGATTAGAAGCCGCAGAGAAAATGAGGCACATATTTTTCTGTCTATATATATTTTTTTCGCAGGCCATAGTTTTAGGGATAATAATTGTACAAGAGTGATATTATTCGAAATTTCATATTCCCGATTAAAATTTTTTAGACATCTCTCACCGCACTAAATGTAACGTGTCCTGCATTGCCACCCTCAGTGACTTTATTACCATGAAGTTCGTAAGTACTGTGGAATAAAATGTGCATTATAATTAGTACATTAATGTGAAGTGGAGGTTGCAGTAGGCTAGTCGGTTGAGGCACTATGCTAAAAGCCCCAAAGTCGCGGATCCTCCTGGTGGTAAAGGGCGGCCGGTGCGTAAGACTGCCAACCTCACTGCTATCTGTGAGCCGATTGTCTAGAAAATGTGGAAGTCTCGACGTCTCACAATCCTACGGGCCTTCACGGCCTGTTACAGGGATACCTTTACCTTCATATTTTTACCTTTTAGGTTAATGTCAAGTAATATACACGTATAACACACAACTTGTAGGACAATTAGAAGTTTAAGAAATATAATTTAAGCGGTCTCTCAAAGCAACTTGCTCCTTAAGAACTCTGTTTTCTTCTGGGATATAACGTTATGTAGTTCTATATGAGTCAGACGACGTTTCGGAGGAACATATGACCCCTATCTTCAGGGTCAAAGAATAAGCCAAGCAAGAAACAAACACCGGACCACAAGACATTACTTCCCAGAAGACAGTCAACTTCAGAGTTGCCGCTGTGATAACCTCAAACACAATCAGCTGCTCCTGTATTGTTCGTCGTCTGCATGGAACGACATTGACGTGCGTGTGTATTGGTATTCCTGATAGAACCATAGGCTGTTATTCTGCTAGCACTCGAAAGTTTGCTGCTCCATCAGCTACTTAATTGGCCTTATCAGGCACAGTTCATGGTTCCTGTTTGCGGTTCGGTAACCGGGTAGCTGTTGCCGTAAAGTTCAAATCTTACCTATAGGCAGAGGTAAGGTAAAGTTGTCCCTGTGCTAGTCACGGTAGGCATTTATGTTTGGTGTGTGCATGTGTTTATTCTGTTTGTGCTGTCCTGTGTTTAGGTAGCGACCTTGCGACGAGCTGATCACTCGTCCAAGGAGTCCTACCGTCTGTAAAATGATCATAAAACCGAAAATCAGAGGCCAGGGCCAAAGGGGGCTGTAGAACCAGGGGGGAAAAAGTTATCCTTGTGCTTAACTAATTAAGCACTACGCCATGAAGGCGTATTGTGGAGTGGAAGTATTTTTTCCCTTGGCACTACAACCCCAGTGGGCATAGGCCTACCTCCATGAACTTCTCCGTTCACTTCGGTTTTTCTAGATCTTACACATTCGGTAGGACTCCTTGGGCGAGTGATCAAGTCGCAAGGCCTCTACCTGTACACAAACACAGAAAAACGCACACACACAAACTAAATATCCATGCCCTGAGTGGGATTCGAACCCACGATCCCGGTTTCCAAGCGAGCGAAGACAGTACATGCCTTAGACCGCTCGGTTACCGTGACCGGCGGAGTGGATGTATAGATCCGCATCTTCTTCACCTCGTCACTAGTTTGAGGTAAGTGGCTAGCTTCATGTTCCGACCGCTTTAACCCCGGGGAAAGAGCCCCCGGAACCCATTGAATAGGAGGCTGGGTGCTCCCCAGAGCCGGTATGGACGACGTGGAGGAGAGAAAATTCTTTACCCTACCGGAACTCGAATTCCGACTCCTCGGTCTTCCAGCCCGAAGCCAGTCGTTATACCGACTGAGCTATCCCGACTCATATCTTACCTACAGATGCAAGAAGAAACTGAGGAACGGAGACCTGAAAATGTTGGCTGAAGAGTAATGAGTAACCAGAAATCCAGCAAATTACTTCCTGTTGTTACATTATTTTGCAATTATTTTGCGGCCCGATTTCAATCCCGGGTGTGGTAAAGTGGGATTTGTGATGGACAAAGTAGCGTTGGGGCAGGTCTTCTCCGAGTACTTCGGTTTCCCCTGCCAATCTTCATTCCACCAACTGCTCCACAATCACCCTCACCTATCATCTGGGGCTGGTAAAATAGGCCAGAAGTGGCCGCAGTACAAGGGACTTAATCCCACCCCACTAGCAATAAAAAAAATACACAACTCCTGTGAATTGAAGCCACGAGCACGGGAAAAATGAGTATGACATTTTCACTTGCCAAGATTTATGGAATAAAAATTCAGAATTTAAGAACAGAGAGAAGCATATCAAATATTAATAACAAAAAAATCAATTTAATAAAAAATCTCTCCTCTTGAACTCTCTAGTACAAACATTAACGATAGCCTTAAATGGTTTAAAGCACAGTTCTTGTATCCCAACCCTTTTCCTCCTTACAAAATACTAAAATTGTGGCGAAGCCCATAATAATGTTGAGAAAGTTAAAATTGCTGTCATTTCAGAGGAATTTAATGCCTCTGTTTTCAGCTCCACTTCAGCACGGCAGTTCACCCACACGACCACAATAACTATGGCCCACCATGAAAAATCGCAAGACTGGTATACAGAGGGACTGTTTATTCGATGAACGTGAACTGAATGTAGCAGTGCGGAACACAGATGGTCCATCAGAACACGCACACCAAGGTGAATACTCGTACATAGAGAAACCCTCTCTCCGTATGCTCGCAACTAGTCTGTCGATCCGAACGTCCATACGGATGATGGGACAGATGAAGATCGCTCATTTGTTCATTTTCTTCTCACACCGAACAAATTAATTCAGCAATAACCATTTAGATTATATTCGGTACGTATGATTTGTATTTCTGCGGGATCACTGGCAATGTTGAGACCTCCAGCGGTCTTCATTAGGCTCCCTATGCAAATGCTGAGTTAATAACGCTAAGCAAGGACTCGGTAAACACATTCCCACCAAGCCAAAGCGCTCAAGAATAGGACGTCTGTTGCTAAGCAATGGAGCTATAAACACTTCTTCGCAACAATAGAGAAAGCGGTGCTTTCAGTTTGTCCGGCTCGAGGCTATGTAACGAGGATCTCACACAGATAGAATGAGAATTGGGTCGAATTCTGAAGATGGCAGACGAAGATAATTGAGAAGGAATGGCAGTACAAAATTAGACTGTGCCAAAAACACTTCATATGAGAGTTGAAGTTATAGTGAGACTGCGATAAATCCGTTGCCAGGATACGACTAGTGAAGACTGAGAACCCTTGTGCGTGTGGGACTGTGAACTACAGTAGAATAGCTACAGAGCTGTATTGCCTGTAGTCCACAACCGTATGAATGTCTAAGGTGTTAATAAATCCAATCATCTACTCCAAAACGCGTCTAAATACCCACCAACATGCCAAGAGTCCACCATTTCAAATTATTACCTAATTAGCATTCATATGGATAATTATTTTCAGATTTCATTTGCTCTATAAAATCCTTGAATTTGAAATAATATAGGGACATGAGAATACATTAATTCTCGCCACTTACTGATCACAATATGTAGCATCGTTAAATAGACAAGACAGCCACTTACGCACTCACACACAAACGAACACACCTGCTAAAGAACTTACCAATATCAGTTCCTCGTTGCGTATTTGAGGCAGGTTCACGAGTCCGGGAATAACTGAAGGTTGTCCAGAGAATTTTGCGGCTCCCAGAAGACAGCTGCAGGACCCTGACCGACTCAGGGCGGTCCTGGTGCACGGCGGGAGAGATTCCGACCGGTGTCTCATCAACAGACCCGACTGCTCCCCAGTGGACACTGAACACTTGCTACCATCCTCCTCCTCCGCCTGTCCGAATAGCGAATTGCATTGCCTGCCTCTCATCGTTGCTAATCTTACCAGTTCTGGAGATCGCAGTTTATGTCTCGATGCGTTTTCTGTCCCACGCTCGTATTCATGGGAGTGATCTTCATTTTCCAGAGGTAATGATGGTGAAATATTTCGGATCAACAAACAGTGTCTTTCTTGCGTCCCCAAGTTGGCCACGTTACTATACTCACGAACTTCTGGAAAAGCTTTTGATGGGTCTACAATATCAATAACTTCAAACGTGTGTCCTTCAGATGTTTGATGTTGATATTGGTTATCTTCGTTGCTTGTATCTTCATCGTCATAGAAATCAAATACTTGCTGAATTGATTCCATAGATGCTGCTCGTCTGTGGATTGTTAGAGGTCTTTTTTGAGCTTTCACGTCATCGGTAAAGTTTTTTCTCAACTGAGTAACTGACTCCACATCTCTGATATCCCTGAGTGTTTCTTTAGAATGTACTTTACGTGAGCGTTGAGCTGATGTTGTTGGCTGACAAGTCAATTTTGCATCGCGTCCAGTAGAATCAGTTTTTGAGGGAATAATATTTTGTCGTTTTGGTAATGGAAGGGACTTTGTTCTAGCACGACTAATATCTTCATGATCAAATTTATGATTTCTTGATTTTCTGCGTTGTTTTTCTAAGGCTGCGACACGTCTCTTGCCAGTGCATCCAGTGGCCAAATTACAAAGGCTAGAAACTCGAATTGCATCCATAGCTACCGATGATGTTATGGATGGTGTCGGCGAAGTTACATTGTAACTGTTCATATTTGAAGTTTCTGTAACACCAAGTCTTGATCTACAACTTCTGCTTCTGGGTGTTGCAACACTTTGTTCAAGTTCTCTCCAACGTCGCCGAAATTTGAAACCAAATAACCCGCTGCTAACTTCCAGAAAACTGCTGGAAGTTTCACTGTCCGCCGATGGCGTCCATTGGTACACCTTCTGAATGCTCACCATTGTTTTCTGTGGCATGCAATATTAGCTCTTGTTTCACAAAACAAATAGGCTTACAATTACATTCTGAAATCAAGACACTGTCCAATTAGCTTCATTTTTTTTTCTTTTCAGAATTTCCCTTCCAAAATCGAACTGATTTTAACGCGTGTTACGTTATGCACTTTTCAACTTCGTATATTAACGTGCTTATAGTGGATTGATTACGTATTGTTTAATTCATCGTAACACACATGCTTCAAGGATTTGAACTGTGTCACATAAATACAACTTTCTGCTTTATGAATTATATACTTTCCAAATATCCATATTCATAACACTATGAAAAAATATATCTTATTGCTATTAAAATTATCACTTGCATAATTTGTCAAAAACCTATTATCGAAAATAGCCAACAACGAAGCTTGAAACACGTTCAATATATGACACACGCAATTCTCCGTCATATTATTAAAAACGGAAGAAAATTAATATTGTGTATTATAAATAAATAAATATAAATAAAAAAACTTTTATACGAATTCTTGCGTCTTCTGTATTCGTAAAAACTCACAACTCGCTGGGCACTGAACTTATTCACTGAGTGGGGTGAAGCTGGACTCTTGGTGGAGCAAAAGTTGAGCAAGCACTACTTCTTCTTGTCCTGTACTTCTGTGTTTTCGTATCACTGAATCCGTTTCGCTGTAGGAATGTGATGCACACACACATTTCCGTCAAGGGCATTATTATGCAACGCAGACCTGAGGTTGGAGTCGTACTCGGCAAGAAGCTTTTCTTCTTTTCAACATTCGATCCCAATAATGTATCAAACTATGTGGGTACGTAACCCAACGTACACACCCAGAAACATACTTACGAACATATCACGTACAGGGCATCCTCTATGAATTGAAATCAAGGTTGCGTGGCAATGCGATCCATGCCAGAAAAGAAATTCTGATTCACTGCTGACTGTTGAACAAAAAGAAGGCCAACAATAATTGTATGAAACACGTCTTAGTAGCGCACGGGTTCTGAACTAAGTCAAAATGAACCAAAAGAAGCAACCTGTTATTTCGTTATAACACGAAAACTGTGGCTTGGGTTGGCTGGTTGTCTCTGAACTGGAAACATGCTCCACGAATCGAGACGAAACAGAGCGCCATCGCTGGGTGAAACGAGGCACCGAGAAAATGCCTTTTTCTTCAAATGTTATGCTTCATACTTATTGTCCGCTTCACATATTAAGTTTGCTAGTTATGGCGTGCGATGTTCATCAAGCAGATCGGACCAGCAATACCACCCTTAGACAACACCCACAACTTGTTACCGGGCAGAGTTCTTGAATGCGACTGAGGACCGTGACAAACATGTCCTCGCCGAACACAATGCAAAGCAATTTGGCTGGAAAACATCATTATCGTTTAAATAATCAACTTAAAAATGTGACCATTGACATGAGAGCATACACACGTCTCTACACTGCTTCTTGTGCGAATGTGATTACCTTACATCAGGAAAGAAACAACTAGGAAGAACTAGACGTAGAATACATAATAATATTGAGATGTGTCTTTGGGAATGTGAGTGGCTACGCTACTGTTGCTTTCGCAAGAAGGACTGGGCTCCATGTGGTGATCCAGTTACTTATCATTGGTTCGTTTAAGAACATTGGGGTACTTAAAAATGAGGGCGTTAAACTGCGTCCAATGGGAAGACAGTGACTTCTAGGGCATTTGAGGATCTAAAAGGATGCGGTAGTATTCTCCGGCGAACAACCTAATTTTCAGCGGGAAAGCATGACGATAACCACAAAATCTCAGTGAGGATAGTCGCTATTTCAACAGAGACTGGACTCGGTAACTCCAGAAAATTTAACCTAAAATACTGCCGCTACTGGCCTAGTGATCAGAGTTCCTGGCTACAGATCCAGGGGTCCGGGTTCGATTCCCGGGGTTAAGAGATTTTCGGAGAAATAGTGGGTCTGGAACGGGGTCCACTCAGCCTCATGAGGATAATTGAGGAGTTACTTGAATGAAAATTGCCGGCTCCGGTCTAGAAAACCGAAATTAACAGCCGTGGGGATTCATTGACCGCGCGGCATCCTCTAACCGCTAAACTTGGCACTAACTTCGTCGACAAGCGGCGGTCGCTCGGTCGGTATAGTTCGCTTGCGGACTAAATCCACAGAGTTTGTTATTTATACTGCCACAACACCTAAATGGTCGGCAGTGATTATCGTTTAAGACGAAGAACTTAACCACAGTAAACTTTGAAATATTTCCTCACAGTTTATCTCTCGAAGCAAACGAGGTCGCCACAATCAGCTTCACATTTCTTTGCCCTGATATACATATCAATTAAACGAGAACCTAGGAAATGTATATGCCGTTTTTCGCAGGATATTCCTTCAGATTTCTGACTGCACAGATAAGCCCCTAAGTAATGTTACTTCGAATAACGACGAAATCATGGAATTAGTTTCGTTCTGAATTCTTAAACATATTTTAAAATACGTGCATTTTAGTAAAATGGGCCGTTCAGAGCAACGGAACCTCATAAATATCATCATGACTGCCTAATATCAGTTATCTCTATTACCAGAAGACGTTAACGAGTCGCCTAAAACTATCATTAAAACTAGAAATCAAATCGTACATTGGATTCGGTAAAAACTACGGGTTTATTATAATAAGTGACAATTGTACTGATCTATATTTACGCGGCGACATCGCTACTATTCCTGAAGAACCCATAAGTACGCCTTATTATTTAAGAAAGGTTAAGGACAGATGGCCTGTAATTGATTCTACACATTATATTATTAAGAATTTTATGGCCCAGAAATAATGATAATGACAGCAGTGAAGAACCGAGGAAAACTATGGAAATATCCTTAATGAGAATCTGTATATACAAGTAAGAAAAACTGCCACTTGAACCAACGAGACGGCCGCACCACAGCTCAAGCTATTAGTCGCTGGCTTCCCACCGTGGAGGCCCGGGTTCGATCCCGGGGTCTGGTCAAGTGGGATTTGTGGTGGACAAAGTGGCGCTGGGGCAGGTTTTCTCCGAGTACTTTACCCTTTACACCCAGGAATATTCCTGTATCTCGTTTCTGTTAGGGGCTGAGTCGACCTCAGGGCCATAGTGCCGCTGAAACGATTAGGCCAACTAAAAAAAATCCACCTGATCGGGAATCGATCCAGCGACCTTCCACTATGCGAGCGCGTGCCCCGCGCAATTCCTATATCATTATCAAATTTTCTCCCTTGGTGTTTTCTTACTTTTACCTTCTGTAGGTTTGTAATTTCACATTTAGCTAGGACAAGTGTCTGCGTTTATAAAATCTTTCCATGTCGTCCTACATGCAGCAATATCGTGAGACATATTACGAACTACAAGCAAATTCTCTGACACTTATACCAACTATATTCTCATATCAATTACACTGTCGGACATTTCACTTTTTAATTTTTTAAGAGATTAGGTCACGAAATAAATTATGACATTGAGAAAGATTTTAAGTTACAAACAAAGTGGAAGAAATACAATCTGCACTTCATGCAAAGAGAAAGACAGATGTGTTACTCTTATCCGTGGGTTTAATATAGGGCTTAAGAGTAAAATTCACTGGCAGACGCGTGACTTTTGACTTCGAAAATTGTTGGTATATGTAGACGACTGAAAATAATATTGGGTACAAAAAAGAGACAAAACTGGAAACTGTCATTTTGAAATAATGGAAGGAGGCCCCTTCCACTGTTGGCCTTCAGTTACTATCCAAGGGGACGACGAGGTTTACGACGCCGTAACGACAATAACTTGCTAGTATTCACGCGATCAATTCCTGACGATCACTATAATGATGCTGTGACATGTTTGCTCAAAGCAAGAACTGTGGAGCCAGGGAAACAGCCGTTGCTAAGCAACGGCTCAATAAACACTTTCCTGCGGCAACGGATAAGCATGCAACAATAGACGTATTGTTGGAAATAGTGTTCTCTGCTCGGTCCTTGCAAAGTGGTTGTAAAGAAGAGAATGGGGACATCGGAGTCGGTTCTGTACTGGAGATTGTGAAGAAAAAGGACACTTGGAAGGAAATCGACATCCAGAGAGGAATGAGAACTGAAGCTGAAAAAATTCCACTGCTAAAGCCGTTACCAGGGAACGGCTGGTGAAGACACTGCGAGCTGGAAAAGACTTATAAATCAGCGATGGTACTGTAATTAAGTGTAATTATGAGTTTTGTGGTAAGTGGTAAATAAATTCAATATTCAATCCGAAACCCAGTCTATAATCACTCTCTCACGTGACAATATGAAGATTTTCTATGAATCTAAAAGTTATCTTAATGTTACTTCATTGCTTCCTTTGTTCCTCCCTTCGTTTCATGCCTCATCCATTAATGAGCGGTTCATATGAACTGCAAAGATTCAGTTCTTCAGCTGGTTGTGATATGAAACGG